TTTAGAAAGGATGAGACATCTTTCCCAGACAAAAGGAGGAGATCGTTAATTTTTATTATGTCTAAAGACATAATAAAAATTAACAAAACGTTTTTTTAAATAACTTAGCCAGCCAGAATTTTTTTCTGAGCTCTGAAAATTTTTTCCCAGCCTATCCGATTTCGTTTTTTGACTTTCACTTTCAATTCCTCACTTATCTATAAAAATATTCCACGTTTCTGTTCAGAACAGTGCTGGCTCTTGAAGATGCAGCATGCCTTTTCTCTCTACTTCTACCTCATCTGGACACAGGATATACTTTCTCAAGAAAAAGAATTCTTTGGGAAAGTTTTGCCATTTCTGAACTTTACACGAGCTGGATATTTTCTTTTTTTATATTTCGAAGCCATTTGTCAAAGAAGTGTAAGAAGTCATGATGGGACATGTTGACGAATAAGCTAAACTATTTTTTTTCTAGTCTCTCTTAAACCTCGTTAGATGGAGAACCACTCTTTTATTTTTTTTTTCATCTCAAACCCTGATGGTGGGAGCAGCTATTTTGTTTCCTCATCCAATGAAGACTTTCTGAAAAGACTGTTGTGTTCTTTCTCTCTCTACGCGAGCCAAGATGGGACGCAGCGACCGTTTGATCAGTCATTTTGTTTCCCATCTCACCTAGATAGGTCATGTTGTATTTTTTTCCCTACACCTAGACAAATTTGACGTGAGCCACCCTTTTATTTTCCCCATCGAACTAAGAGGGATGAATGAGACCATTGTGCTCTTTCTCTCTTCGCGAACCGAGACGGGGGGGGCATAACGACCGTTTGTGTTTTTTTTTAATTTTTCCTTCTGAGCGCAAACCTGGATCACTTGAGCAACTATTTTGTTTCCCAGCTCACTCAGATAGGTCGTATTGTATTTTTTTTCCTACACCTAGCCGAATTTGACATGAGTTATCCTTTTGTTGTTTTTCTCATCCAACTAAGATGGATGAGGGAGACGATAACCGAGACGGGACGTAGCGACCGTTTGCGTTTTTTCCCTCTGAGCGCAAACCTGGATCACTTGAGCAGTCATTTTGTTTCCCAGCTCACTTAGATAGGTCATTTTGTATTTTTTTTCCGACACCTAGCCAAATTTGACGTGGGCCATCCTTTTGTTTTTTTTTCTCATCCAACTAAGATGGATGAGTGAGACGATTCTGTTCTTTTTCTCTCTGCGCGAACCAAGACGGGGTGTAGCGACCGTTTGTGGGTTTTATTTTTTTCCTCTGCACGCAAACCTCGATCCCTTGAGCAGCCATTTTGTTTCCCAGCTCACTCAGATAGGTCGTATTGTATTTTTCCGACACCTAGCCGAATTTGACATGAACCATCTTTTTGTTTTTCCCATCCAACTGCGAGAGATTCTATAGACCCTTTTGCTTTTTCTCATTTCGCCAACCAAGTCGGGCCGCTGCGACCGTTTGCAATTTTTTTCTCTGCTCACCCAGATAGCTCGTGGTTTTTTCTCTCGACACCTAGCCAGGATGGACGTCAGCCATCTTTTGGTGTTCTGATCGAACCAAGATTGACACAAGCCACCAGTTTGTTTCTCAACGGAAAAGTAAAATTTCTGAATGGATACCGGTGTTCAAATTCTTTTGTGACCGACTGTATGTTATGTAATAATTGTTACTAAATTTAAGTATGAAACACACCCACAAAAATTTTTGCATGTTTTTTAAAATTTATTTTACTACAGTTTCATTTTGTAAAGCACAAGTGTCCCAACACTTTTGTGAGACACTGTATGCAATTCCCGTATGGGGCGTAGCAGCAATTACTAACAGGAAACACATCCAAATTTTCTAAAATATTATGCTACGGCAAATTTACAAAGCTCTTTGGTTTGTTACGAAAGAGGATATTCATAATGCTGCTAAAATTCTTTCTTTGAATTGCTTTATACAACTACTTTTGGTAAACATTTTCAAAAAGATTCCTTCGATCGAAAACCCTGTTCTCCATGCATTGCCTATTTATCATCCTGGAATTGTTTCCTCAGAGAAAAGACCCAGAGCTACTCTGGAAAACGCATATAATACGTTACCATTTCCCAAGGAGGTTAGAATAGACCTCCTATGGAGACTATTCTAACCTCTTTGCCGTTTCCTAAGAGGCGTTGCTATGGAGATAAGGTGCCTGGAAGCTATCGCTCTACTCGTTCAATGCACCCCCCTCCCGCCTGAGCGAATTCGCTGTTCCTTCAGCTTCGGTCACTCTCTTTGTCCCTTAAACTGGTTTAATTATCTCTTTCAACCGCAAGACATCGGAATCTAACTTAAGCACTTCTTTGTTCCCTGTTAAAAGGGTTCGCTTGCACTTTCTAATGTTAAATTTTAATCTCTTTAAGAAAATTTACTTTTGTATTTACTTTTGTATATTTCTCCTCAGAGGCAGATGTGCCCCTTTATCTTTAAATCTAACATGCCTAACGTGTTCCCGCACCTCTCCCTTCACAGACCCGAATCACTTGCAACGTGAATGATCTTTGGTGAGGAGCTCCTTTCTCGTGTTGTTACTGTTGATTTGAAATTGGCATCTAAATGGCATTCTCTAAGAACGAGATACATTCCAAAGATCTTATTGATCAGGTGATCTATGTATACCTTTTGTAAACAAACAATGCAGATGACCTCAGAGATCACGTGACTTATGTACAGCTAATGCAAACAAGCAAGGTCATTCTTCCTCTTCTTCTCTTGCGGAATGTATCTCATTATCTACTTCTAATAAAAGCACATTATAGTAATATATAAAAAGAAAATCTTATTAAATAAGATTAGTCATAACAAACCTTACCACATTCTAGAAAACCATAACAAACCCTCTAGAGGCCAGATACATTTTTAGCTCATTCTTTTACAATTTAAGAAAATATCAATGTTGCCAAAAATATTAAAAGTTAAAATTATACTTTATAAACAAGGACTATCCATTGCACCCTTATTTGTGTTTAAAGATATAATTTTAATCAGTCAGTCATGTTCATACTTAAATAGTTCATCTTTCAATTTCACCCTAGGTAGATATTTTATTAAAATATCTGCTTCTTGATTTTGTGAACACACAAACTGAGGAATGATTTGATTCATTTCATATTCATCTTTTGTAAAGAAATATTTTCGATTAATGTGCCTTGATCAATAATCCATTTAATTTTTCTAATCTCTTGTTCATTTATTTCATTCTTTCCAGCATTTGTATCTTGGTTAAGACATGGGCTTTCCATTTTCTTATACACTTCAGATAAGCATGTAGCTGATTCATATTCTTTTTCCTTGCTTGACATTCTATCAGTTTTATTTTTTAAATTTCTCTGCTGTCGGTGTTCTTGTTTAGTTTTCATTTTACATTCAGTTGATTTGTGGCAGAATTTTCCACACCTAAAGCACCTTATATTATTATTATTGTTCCGATATTCTTTTATTAAATTTCCTAATTTTGCACAGTTAAAGCATCTTCTTTCATATTTTGATTTTATCCAGTTTTATTTTGCCTTAGAACTTACTTCTATTTCTTTTCCTCTTTGTTTATTATTTCCTTCTGTTTCTTTTAAAGCTTGTCTAATTGAAGCCATATCCTTCTCTTTATTGCTTTTAATGATTTTAACATCGAATTCAGATTCCTTTCTAAAAGTCTAGCATGAAGTAAATTAATTGTGTATCTCTTATTTCATCCCCAACTTTACTTTTCAGAATTACAGCTTTATTAATGTAATCATCTACAGATTCATTTTCGGTTGAGCTAATTCTATTCTACATTTGATTTGAATATCTTCTGTTCTTGCCGCCGTTTCATATTTTATTTTCTCCCATAACTTCTTTGCGTTCTTTTCGTTGGCATATTTTTAACGCTTGTGGAACTGTCATAGTTTGGTTCATTACATTTCTTGCTATCGCATTATCATCATCCCATGTTTCCCAAGCTTTTATTTCACTTTTGAAACTAACATCATCCCTTTTATATGGTTTTGGTGGTTCATCAGCTTCTATACCACTGATCAAGGAAACCACAGGACCACTGATCAAGGAAACATAGAATCTTTTCAAAATTCCCAATGTGACTCTTCAAAATTAATTCTGGTCCTTCTTCGATATGAAATTTATTAAATTAATCCTTCAATTTGTTTACATTTTTTCACTGTGGAAGACAGTTTACCATTTGTTTATTTTTAAAAATTCCACACTAAATTTACACCTCTTTTCAGAACCCTTCTTTTGGTGATAATAATTATTCTTTGATGATATGGGCATGCACCGACACTGGTGGCTACTGCTGGCAGACCTGGGTGTTTCGAAGCTTCGAAGTCGTGACTTTTTGCGGTTTTCAACGCTTGTGCTCTAGCTGCTGATCTGATTCCGATCGCTCTTTCAAATCTGTCTCCATGAATTTAAACTCTTACTCATTTAATTATTTAGCACATTCACTTATATTTCTCATAATTCGAAACTTTTATCATGTTATTCGATGAGGGGTAGGGTTATGGCGCCCAGGCACTCTGGTCGTTAAGCACCGCAGTTCAATGTTCTCCTGCGGAGTTTTATTATCTGCTCTTTTTGCTTCTTCGGAGTTCTTTTTGCTTCTTTTTAGTTTCATTTCGATTCTTTTTCGATTTTTAGCTTTAAATCCCTTAAAATTGCTGTTCTGCAGGAACGTTGGCCGAGAATATTGCTACGTGTAGCTGGGTATTAATTATCAATGGAAAATAAACATTTCATAATCCCACTTTTCTCCATATATTTCCCTTTCCCACCCTGTTTGCGTAATAAGATGCCTTCATCAAGGCTGTTCTCCGAACATTACGCTCTATGGAATAGAAATAATCATATGGAATAGAAATAAACAAATATATAAGTATTAACTTGAATTTTGAATTAAAAAAAATTTTTTTTGAGACACCTATTTCATTTTCATATCCATTCATTCGAGGGTGAAAATTAGTTATTTGTACTTTTTTCTGGGTATGGCAATAGGTCATTTATTTTGTTGGGAAAATCGAACGACGCTTCCAATAAGAAATCAAAATATTCTTTATTCTCATGCTGTTTTAAATCTGTCTAAAATGCTTCTAGGAATCTTATAGTGTGTAGTTTAACGAAAATGCAGATGTCGAGTTGTAAAGCTATGCAGTTTACTTGGTTAGGGAATGGAACAGCAGGGAATCGAAAATCTGTTGTTAATTATGAGTAAGATGATCGTATTGTTTGTTTATTTATTTTATTTTTTTTTGTTATGTAATAAAACCGTGATTTTTTCCAGTTATTAGTTGGTAGCATATCACACGTATCTATTTTGTAGTTTTTTAATTTATTAATCTCTACGGGTTATTTTAACCAGCTTGAGAGAAACTATTATTTATTCCATTTTCGTAGAAGTCACGTGGTTATTTAATCTGTTTAAATGTATATAGGTTTTGAAGGTCTGTGTTTTTAATTGTTATGAATTTTGTAATAGAGGATAATGTAATGAATCTTTCAGTATGAATAATGGCCATTGAGACGATTTTCATATTCTTTTATGAAAAGCTGATGTCACGAACATTGTTGAAACTTTCTTTTTTTAGAAGAAAACGTGCTTCGATTTGAAAAATTGCAGGACTGTCAAAATTATCCTATATAATATTTGCCGGTGTAAAATTAAGGTATTAGAATCTGGAAAGCATTGGAAAAACTTTATAGCGTAGTGTGTTTAGGCTAAACACGAGATTTTGCGAAATCCGAGGTGATAAAGTTTACATTCTGTACCAGTAGTTTAGCCTAGTATTTAATTTGTTACTCCTTTTTTTTTATTGAGTTATTGATTGTATAGCTATTTTTCATTTGTTAGTGTGAATGATTTTAGTTTTAACGATTTATAGGGATTTTAGTGAGCATTAATGATTTTAGTTTTATCGATTCATATAGATTTTAGTGAGCGTAAATTTAGTTATTTTGATTTATAAGGATTTTCTTATGCTCGATAGTGTATTTTTTGTTTATTATGAGCAATGTAATGAATTGCCAATATTTAAACACAATATTTTTATGGAAGGTCGGAGCTAGAAGGAAAATATGGGTTGATCTTTACATTACGGTAACTTGGCGATTTTTTGGCGAAAATTTGGCGACCAACTCCCCTACAGCAACCCTCTATTTTTTTTTTCCCCGCCGCCATTTTGTCTTCACGAAGTAAAGACATGTTTCTTTTCTTCTTATCTACTGAACACTTCTTCCAACAATCTACTAGCTACTAGCCAAATTACACTTATGCTAGAAATTTTATCAAACAAAAACTGCTTAATCATGACAAATATTCACTGCAAAATTCGGAAAAGTGCACAATACCATACACCTTACGCGTTTTTCAAAATAACACATACACATAAACCATGTACACGCCGACTTATTTTTACTTAAAAAAACATCCCAGAATTGCACAAAAATGGCATTGCGCACACTCTTCACTATATCCATGTACACTGCTTTTTTCTCATAAATTCGAAAAATTTCACGAAAATACATGACAATTTTCTCAATCTTTAAACCCGGTAAAAAGAACATATATGAAATTACCTGATCGCGAAAAAGTATTTACCCTTTACAAATATGAACATTTCCACATATAAAATAAATAAAATATCCAAAAACTTTTTACCTCTAAATCATCTATTACATTATACACACGTCACCAACGAATTCATACATGAAGCATTACAAATATTTAATATCAAATATTTAAATTATTTCCATGCACGTTTATTTCAACTTAAACGTAAAACCAAATTCCTACAAGCATAAAATTCACAAAATAACTATCATTTCATTAAATATCACTGAACCATGTACAACGTCGACTTATTTTTACTTAAAAAACATCCCAGAATTGCATAAAAAATGGCATTCCGCACACTCTTCACTATATCCATGTACACTGCTTTTATCTCATAAATTAAAAAAATTTCACGAAATACATACATGACAATTTTCTCAATCTTTAAACCCGGTAAAAAGAACATATATGAAATTACATGATCGCGAAAAAGTATTTACCCTTTACAAAATATGAACATTTCCACATATAAAATAAATAAAATATCCAAAAACTTTTACCTCTAAATCATCTATTACATTATACACGTCACCAACGAATTCATACATGAAGCATTACAAATATTTATTATCAAATATTTAAATTATTTCCATGCACATTTATTTCAACTTACAACATACACCAAATTCCTACAAGTATAAAATTCACAAATAAACTATCATTTCATTAAAATATAATTAAATTCAAAAACACCACTTAAAATATACATGAGCACATACATTCAATTAATAAAAATTACCTTACAATCCTAATTACTTTAAACTAAATCATTGCTAATAACAGTTTTCCCAATAATACCAAATTCCTTCCACCCACCTTACATTTCCAACAATGCATAAAAATAATTAAAAAATACTAACTTACCTAATCTCCTTCAGAATCTTCATTACGTGGCGGATACACTTTTCTTCATTCTCTTTCAGAATCTTTAAAATCATACTTATCTTTCAAAGCAAGATACCAGGTAAAATAAATAACATAATAAAACATGTTTATTTCTCTCTCACACAACCTTAAAAAACATTTCTTACTATCCTTTTCAGTACCACTAAATACCCATTTTGAATTCACTTTACTTACGGCCATGGGATCCAAAAATTCACAAACACTATTTCACACAACACAGAATAAAGCCAAATACAAAATTTCCAGATTTTTTCCCGATTTCCCCCCTTTTTCGATTAAAGCCGTAATTCGTCCATTAATATCACATGACATATCCCATGATCTCTCATTTCCCCCACACAAAATAATGCATAATCGGAACTCAGTACTGCTCACATTATTGCCAAAGTCCCAGGTAGTAACCTTTATCGCCTCCAAAATGTCGCCAAACTACCAGTTACCGTAATGTAAAGATCAACCAAAATATGCTGTGCTTCAATGGATGCTGTCTTATTACTGAAGGATTTCTATTGCCCCGAAGGCAGGGAAAATATGGAACTTGCACCACGTTTTGGTGTATAAGATGGATTCAACTGAATTTCCCGTATAGCTGGAGAAGATTCCCACTATATCAAGTGAACTCTTTGAAAAGGCACATAATTTGTCAGGTCAAATTTAGGTATTTCAACAATAATGCAATTGACTATTCAGTGGGTGTATGGAGCTAGCCACTCGTACATTATGGAAGATTTGTGTCTTGCCAATCACATAGTGACTGAATGGATGATGTTTTGGCGGGAGGTGTGTGATCAGTGGTTGATTGTAATTTCTGCACCTGTCAGCAGTGAACAGATTTTTTTTGAAATTGTTGAGAATTGAAAATTGTTGAAAAAATTTGTCAAATGAAAATTTAACCGTGGTAAGCGAGTGGAAGGGCAGTGGGTTTTCAGTGGCATAGAAAGTGGTACTAGTAAGTGTTTCATGGCCACCATGCAGGACCACACGAAGGATATGTTGTTGGGGGTTCTTAAAAAGTTTGTTTTGCCCAGCAGCATAATCGTTTCTGACTGCTGGATATTTTATGATTGCTTAAAAGGCAAAAGTTTTCAGCATTTTATAGTAAATCACAGTGCCACCTTCCACGACCCCACACACAGATAGTCACAGTAACTTCGTTTGAACTGCCGCCCACATGAACTCAAAGTAATGTGGAGAGCAGTCAAGTTTTTTATGAAGGTGATGAAAAAAGTAAGCAAGGAGTTTGACTCTTATGTGGCAGCACATGAACAATAATAAATATTCATCGGAGAAGATGAAAGAATTTATAGTAGCAATAAGAGCTACATATCTCTTCCACCTCCTTCTTTGAGGGCAAGGAGTAACCATTACATTTAGTTTATGATATATTGTGTGTGAATGTTTTTGTTTTGTATTTCTTGTGAAGTACATTAAAAATTATTTTCAATTTCTAAATGCTTGCTTGTGTTTTTATGTATCACTGTATGCTTATGGATTTATCATTTTGTTTACTTTTTTACCTATGCACACTTATGGTGATGTTTTGTTTTGCCATTGGGAAAAATTTGGCAACAAACATAAATGTGCCAGTTTGGTGTTGCCGACAGTTTTGAAAATTGGCGATATATTATAAAATCGGCAACTTTAAAAATTGCGCCAAAGTGGTACCATATACTAGATTTTACCTTGGAAAGAACTATATTAATATCATTAATTAAAAAAGTTTTCAACTAAACAAAAAAAATTTTTTTTTTCGGTAACTACTCATTAATGGTGAAAAAGCCAAAATTTATCCTCCTAAAGAGCAAATAGTAGTCAACTTCAGCACCATAATACAAACTAATCACTTTTGCAACCATATGATGTCTAAGTTCTGATTGTACCTATTAGCTGTAATTTTTAGTTAAAAATTTTTTTTTATGAGTGGTGCTATTAGTTTCTTACTACTCACCTTTCACTTTATATTGCCTGTTGTTAAGTTTTTGTGATTCTTAGGCCTTTCTTATGATCTTCTAATGGAGTCTGTTGGTGATAAAACATTGCCTTACATATACAGTAGTGGCCAAAATTGTGGACACTTTTGGAAATTTCTATGTTTTTAAACTTTGTATGCTTATAGAAAATGTTGCGTTTCGCAAAATGCAAACTTGTATATATCATTTTAAAGAGAATTTATTACTGAATTCAATACAAAACACAAAATTCAATTATTTGCAATACAAAAAAAAAAAAAAAAAAAAAAAAAAAAAAGTTATGTGTACTTTAATATAAATAAAAAATACAGTTATGAAGTGGTTTGTAATGTCTAGCTTACCTGGCCAATCACTGTTCTTGTTCTGAGAATCATTCAAATGTCAGTAACTGCCAGTAGAAGCTGACATCTTGTTTACTTGAAACAATTCATTATTTTGCTTTGTTCTGTAGAAGGAGGACCTGTTTTTTATGCACTGCAGTTACAAGTAGGAATTTTTGTAAAAATTTTTAATATTTAGTCAAGAAGCAATGACATCAAATAAAAGAGTAGATTGGGCGCCTAGAAAAAAATGCAATATTATTGTGCTACGAGAAAGTGGTCATTCCTGTGCTGAAATTGCAAGACGGGTGGTTCAATGACTACATCTGGAGTCCGAAAATTTTGTTTACGATATCAGGAGACAAATTCAATAAAAATCAAAGAAGGAAAAGGCCAAAAAAG